CAGACGCTGAACTGACTGAGCCACCCAATACCCCTAAAGTTTTTATTTAAATTCCAGTTAGTTAATATACAGTATAATATTAGTTTCAGGTGTACAATACAGTGATTCAACACTTTTATACAACACCCATTGCTCATCACAACAGGTGCACTCCTTAATCCTCATCACCTATTTCACTCATTCTACTACTTACGTCCTCTCTGGTAATCATCAGTTTGTTCTCTATAGTTAAGAATCTCCTTCTTGCTTTACCTCTTTCTCTCTTTTTCCCCCATTTTCTCACTTGTTTTATTTCTTAAATTCCACATATAAGTGAAATCATTGTCTTTCTCTGACTGAATTATTTCATTTAGCATAATGCTCTCTAGCTCCATCCATGGAGCAAATGGCAAGATTTCATTCTTTTTATGGCAGAATAATATTTCATTGTGTATATATACCACATCTTCTTTATCCATTCATCAGTAGGTGGACCCTTGGGTTGTTCCCATAATTTGGCTGTTGTATATAATCTGTTATAAACAAATGGGTGCATGTATCCGTTTAAATTAACTTTTTTGTGTTCGTTGGGTAATGCCCAGTAGTGTTTTGCAGTGCCTCAGTTCCAGTGGAGTTGGTGACAAGTCTCATTTCACAAGCAGACCAGGGCACACCCAGTTAAGAGTCACTACATTCAGGGCAGGAACAAAACAGAGCCCACTGTAGGCAAGGAGAGCCTCTGCAGATAACTGGCCTGAAGGAGACAGCAGCCAAAACACAATAGTAGTTTGCACACAGTACACACTGGAGACACTCCCTGAAGCTCCAGGCTCTGGGAACTACATGACTTCTTCATAAGGCCCTTACTTTTAGGAGAAGGAGACATAATTGGCTTTTCTAACACAGGGAAGAAGGCAGAGACTTAGACAAAATGCCAAGACCGAGCATTTGTCCCAGATGATAGAAAAAGAGAAGTCCACAGCTAGAGATCTAAGTGACATGCCTAATAGAGAATTTAAAGCAACCATCATAAGGATATTCACTGGGCTTGAGAAAAGAGTAGAAGACATGAGGGAGACCCTTACCACAGAGATAATAGAGGTAAAAATGAACCAATCAGAGATGAAAATATAATAAATGAGATTAAAAACAGGCTTGATGCAATGAACAGTAGGCTGGAAGAATCAGAGGAATGAATTAGTGACATAGAAGACAAAATAATGGCAAATAGTGAAGCTGAACAAAAGAAGAATCATGCAGCAGGAGAATAGATTTAGGTAACTCAATGACTCCACTCTGTCTTTTGATTGGAGTCTTTAGGCTATTTACATTTAAAGTCTTTTGTAAAGCAGGTGCATTTTACATTCCCACTTATGTATGAGGGTTCTATTTTTTTTTCTCATCTTTGCTAGCACTTGTTATAATCTGTCTTTTTGATTAGAGCCTTTCTAGTGTGTATGTGAAATAGTGTCTTAATGGGGTTTTAATTTGCATTTCCCTAACAGTTAATGATGTTGAGCATCTTTTAATTTGTTTATTATTTATTATCTATTTTGGAGAGAGGCCTACTAATTTTTTTTTGCCAATTTTACTATTCTATATATCTTTTGGTTGTTGATTTCTAATTTGATTGCATTTTAGTCAGAGAACATACTTTTTAAAGGTGCTAATCTTGAAATTTTTTGAGATTCACTGTATGACTTACCTAGGAGAACATTTTTCTTTTGATTTAATTTTTTAATTATGTAAAAACATTTACAGGATTTCAGTGTCAAAACTGTAAAATAGGACATATTCAGAAAAATCTAACTCTTATCCTTGTCCCTTGCCCTGTTTTCTCTTTTTCTATAAGAAACCATTTATACTTTTTTGGTTTACCATTGAAAATATTTCTATAATTCTTTATAAAATATATATTTATTTTTATAAATATTAAATATATAATATATTAAATAATACTAAATAATATCAAATATATTTAATTATAATATATTAAATAATATTAAATAAATATATAAATATATATATATATGTATTTATATATATATAAACCCAACATATATATCCACATTTTAAAATAAAAATTAACATGCTGGACACATTCTTATCCAACTTAATTGTTTTCATTTAACTTATACCTTGTAGATTCCCCCAGAGCCCTTATTTGGAGATATTCCTCATGAATTTTTATAGTTACTTAATGTTCCATAATGTATAATTTATACAGTTTTTTTTCTGATTTTCATTTAAGTAGTTTTTAATTTTTTGCTATTTAAACAATGCTGCAACAAATTCATGGGTTATTTTGCATTTTTGTACATGTATTGTTAGGATAGAATTAGGATCATTGGGTCAGAAGTTAGCATTATATATTTCGTAGATATTGCCAAGATGTAACACCATTTTGTATTCTTATCAATAGTGCATATGAGGGCCCTTTTATGTATATCTTTACCAGTAAGGTGTATTATTGAATATTGAAGTCAGATATTTTATATCTTAAGATCAAAATTGGTATTTCAGCTTAGTTTTAAGCTGTGTGTATCTTTTTAAAAAAAAAATTTTTTTTTCAACGTTTATTTATTTTGGGGACAGAGAGAGACAGAGCATGAACGGGGAAGGGGCAGAGAGAGAGGGAGACACAGAATGGGAAGCAGGCTCCAGGCTCTGAGCCATCAGCCCAGAGCCCGACGCGGGGCTCGAACTCACGGACCGCGAGATGGTGACCTGGCTGAAGTCAGACGCTTAACCGACTGCGCCACCCAGGCGCCCCATTAAGCTGTGTGTATCTTAACATGAAAGAGCTTGAACATTTTTTTTAGAGTTTATTTATTTAGTGAGAGAGGGAGAAAGAGAGAGAATCCCAACCAGGCTCTATGCTGTCAGTGCAGAACCTGATGGGGGCTCAAACTCATGAATCTAGAGATCATGACCTGAGCTGAAATCAAGAGTCAGGTGCTTAAGTGACTAAGCCACCCAACCCCGAGAACTTGATTTTTTTTAAATGTATTTAACCCATTTTTATCTCTTTACATATCAATTATAAATTAATATGTTTTGTCTATTTTTTTGTTTGCTGGTGTGTTTTTAGAAGTTCTTTATAATTACAGCTGTTATTCTTTGCCATGTGAGTTGTAAATACTTTCTCCTGATATCATATTTATCTTCTCTACTTTGTTCATGGTTTTATCATGCATTTAAAACATTAATTTGATTTAGTTAACATTATCAATCTTTATCATATTCATGGATTACAAACAAATTATAACTCATGTTTTCTTTTAATATTTGTGTAGTTAAAAAACTATTATTGCTTCAGTTTACTTAGAAATTGTCCTGGCATGTGGCATAAAGAGTAGGTCCAATATATCTTTTCCCAAATTACTATCCAATTATTCCACCATCACATTAATAGGTCCTTCTTTTCTCCACTGATTTGAGATACTGCCATTATCATGTGCTCATTTTCTTGTGTTTTCAACCTGCTTATGGAATTTCTATTCTCTTTTCCCCCCCTGTGGTAAACATGATTTTAATTCTCTTATCATCTGACTCTCCTTATTTATTAAGCTACAATTTGAAAAACTGCATTCTTTTCTTATTATATTTAATCTTCAATTGTAGCGTGGTTCAGTGATTCTTGCTGGAGTGTGAAGCTCTTTATCAGAATAATTTTCCAAGCTTTTTAAAAATTTATACTCCCTCTACTTCTATCTTGACTTTTTGACATGTGTTCCTAGAATGGTAGGGTGTATGAGCATGAATACACACTTGCACATACATGTATACACTTACACTTACAACTACAATGTCCCCAAAATGAGCATCTGTTAAGATTGGTTTATATCATATCCCTCAAGTATGTCAGGATAAGATAAAGGTTGAGAACTTTTGGCCTGTTAATATATAGGCTTTATATAATAATGTTAATAGTACCTGATACTTATGGGATCCTGATAATATGCCACAAAATGTGCTATTTATCTGATATAAATCAATAAATTTATTGATTTATTTAAAAATTTATAAATAGCACACTGATATGCACTATTTATCTTATATGCAGTGATATCTGATATAAAATAGATTTATATCTATTGTCTTATTATCCCTCATAATAACCATATATATAGGTATTATTACCCTCCTGTTGCACATGTGGAAACTGAAGCTTAGACAAGCTAATGCCCAGTCACGATTACTAATGCAGAAGTAGAGTTGGACCCATCTCTTTTTGACTTCAAAGTCTGTGTTTCTAAAAGTTAACCATGGAAAATGATGTGAATGGATCAAACTGATATACTTTGTGCCAACACGTTGAAAGAACTTGGCTCTTTCTAAATGCCTTTTACTGCTTGTGATATCTTGTAAGCTACAAGATATCAAGTGCCTGTAAGGCAAATTTTACATTGTCAGACTTACTCTTCCTGTCACTTTTAATAATGATCTCATTGATTATGGGTTATTCTAGTGATTGCAGACGAACTATAGACTGTTACAGTGTGAAGAGTTTCTTTTCTAAACCTCTTAAAAGTTAGCTCATAGCACTGGGTGTTGTATGGAAACCAATTTGACAATAAATTTCATATATTTAAAAAGAAAAAAATTAGCCCATAAATATCCTTATCACTAAGCATGTTTTTTGAGTTAGGTGTATGGAAGTTGCTTCCTTGATGTTTTTAGGGAAAATGAGTCAAATAAAAATATAAAAATATTATAAGCCAGGCTAATTTCTGTGTTTCCATCTATTATGCTCAGAACTACTCAGCCACAGAAGTGTACAAATATTGACATATTTATGCCATTGTTCTGAGAATTAGATAATATTTTGAAAGCATATTAACTTTGTATCTAAAAATATAAAATACAAATTTGTCAAAGGATAAATTGAGGCAATTTATGTGAAAGTTCTTTGACATTTACTAAGAAATGGAAAGTAAGATTTTCATGAGCTTTACCAAGTACTTCAACAACTTTATTTTATGTCGTTATCTTAGTTTAGCCTTAAAGTTAGGAGATATCTAAAATTTTACACTAGAATTCACATTCCATTTACTCAGTCGTCTCATTGCAGTCTTCATGTCTTTGTTCCTCAGTGTGTATATAATTGGGTTCAAGAGAGGAGTGACCACAGAATAAAACACAGCAAGGGATTTATCTAGTGACTTGATGGGGAATGGCCAGGCATAAATGAAGATACATGGTCCAAAGAACAAAAGAACTACTGTGATGTGAGCAGTCAGAGTGGACAGAGCCTTGGACGACTTGTCTGAAGGGCGTTGCTGGATGGTTACTAGGATGATAGCATAGGAGATGATTAGGAAAACAAAAGAACACACAGTGAGCACACCACTGTTAGCAATGACCATGACATCCAATCTATAGGTGTCTATACAAGCAAGTTTGATAACCCTAGGTAGGTCACAGTAAAAGCTATCAACCTCATTGGGACCACAGAAAGGTAAGTTTACTGCAAAAGCCAACTGGCTCACTGAATGGAGAAAGCCACTTCCCCATGCAGCAGTCACAATGCCAAAACATACATGGTCACACATAACTGTAGAGTAGCGAAGAGGTTTACAGATTGCTACATATCTGTCAAAGGCCATGGCTATAAGTATCACCAACTCACTCCCACCAAAAAAGTGAACGAGAAATATCTGAGCAAGGCAACCCTTGAAAGAGATGACTTTGCGTTTACTGAAAAAGTCAGCAATCATCTTGGGGGCTGTGACGGAAGACAGACATAGGTCAATGAGTGAGAGGTTAGCCAGCAGGAAGTACATGGGAGAGTGAAGATGGGAGTCAGAAGCCACAGTTATGACAATAAGAAGGTTTCCAAACACAATTCCCACATAGAATATAAAAAAGAACACCAGTAGGAGTATCTGGAATTCCTGAGAATTGGAGAGTCCCAGAAAAATGAACTCAGTCACCATGGAGTAATTTGTGTCATTTATTGATTCTTTCCAGGAAAGAGCCTCTGTAGTCACCTTAGAGAATAGAGTAAGAAGAAAGTCAGAATTATTATATTCAAATTCACAGCCTCATTTTGTGTCATTCTGCTTACTCATATAATGTCTATCTATGGTTTATTACATAAATGCATACAATCTAAACCCACCATTTTACTCCACACCCCTCCCCTGACTGTGTGTGCCTTATAGTCCAGTTATTCAAGTCTTCTCAGTATTTGCACTTATGCTAGGCTTATTTCTAATAAAATTCCTTTGTTCATGTGACCTTCTGTGCCAGATTAAGTCTATATCACCATCATATGTTTATCTCCTTTTCCTTTGAACTCCAAAACAGTATCTTAGCTATTAAGTACATACTTATATGATCTTTATATTTACAAGGACTTTTTGTGGCATACATTTTTGAAAAAGTATTCTTAGTGGTTTTGTAGCCCATCACAATCATTTTATGTACAGTTGTTGGAAACCTCTTTATGAAACTAAGACAAATCCTCATTCACAATTTTGCTCTGTGAGGCAATTTATAGTGTATAAATTTTGAATGTAATCTGTGGACCTTGGACTTACTCTTTAAGACTTATTTTTACCATTTTTACAAATGTAGATACTAATTATATTCACTTCTTATGGTTATAATGAATTTCAAATGAAGTATTAAATGTAAAGTGTTTTGCATAGTTTTTGTATTTAGTAAGTACAAAATGAATTTGGATAATTATTAGTAGTAATATTTGTTGCCTTCGATTCACAGAGAAACCCCATTTCCCTGGTAATAATTTACAAATTTTAATTGACTTCTAGAAATAACATAGATGTTATTGTTCATCTTGTTCATAACAAGATGATTGAATTTCAGTTCCCTGCATCCTTTTGTTTTCCCATCTTTAAAACAAATGCACTGCATCAAAAATTCTCAAAATTGCCACTAGTCTAGTACTCTGTGGGGCATGAGTGAGGGACACAATTCCAAAATAATTTTCATAGTTTCTTAGAAGCTTGGATAGAAACATGAAAGCTAAGACAGATGTAGAAATTCAATCTTAGGAGAAGTTTAAATAAATGAGGATTCTAAAAAAGAAGGTCAGAATTATAAGGCCTTATAGAGAATGGAATTTATACTTATCATTTAGTGATACCAAAATGCTTAGAAGAAAAGGAGTCCAAAATAAAATTAAAGATGAAAAATGGAAGAAAAATAAAATAGCAGAAAATAAAAGGATAAAAGAAAGGTAATTTAGAGGTGAAATTAAAAGTGTGGAAAATGCAAAAAAAAAATTGCATGAGGGAAAATGTGAAGGGGTTTAATAGGAGATAAAATTGAAAAAGGATTCTGGAATGCCTGCTAAGGGATTTGTGTTTTATTATGAGGACAGTGAAGAACTATTAAAGCATTATGTGCAATTGTTTAATACATTTCTAATGAATAGTGAATAGTCAATACATGATAGCCATTATTAAGGTAGTAAAAACAGGATATTTGTCAACAGGATGTGGGAGATTAAAAAAAGGAGTATATAAATGATTCTACTCTGAATAATTGTGGAAATTGGTGGGTGCTAGGGAGGCATGAAAGTATAGTGGGTTAATCTTAACCAAATTTCTTGGGGGAGTAGAAGATTTTTTTTCACTACTTCTCCCATCACAGTTATTCTGTAGCCCTTGGAAATTACACTTTTCTTGTCATTATCCCAAATCCCATTCCTTAGCCCTATCCACTAATGCTTCATAATACTGTTTTCAAAGTCCTATAAAAACTTAGGAATTATAATTTTATTTCCAAGTAAAAAGAGAAGTCTAATAGTAAAACAAGACACAAACACACCTTTCCCATCTGCTTAGCACAGTAATAAACACAATCATACTAATCATTGACAATCAAGTGGATGGGATTCCTGTTGTGATGTGACTGGTTAGGATGTTTCTTAAGAATCAAAGTATGTTACTTTTTTTTTTTTAAGTTCATATATTTATTTCAAGAGAGAGAGCACACACAAGCCGGGAGGGGCAGAGAGAGAGAGAGAGAGAGGGAGAGAGAAACCCAAGCAGACTCTGTGCTGTCAGCACAGAACCCAACGAACACATGAACCATGAGATCCCCACCTGAGCTGAAACCAAGAGTCTGACGCTTAAGTGACTGAGCCACCCAGGTGCCCTTCAAAGTATTCAATTTAGAATTGAACTTAGATATTAACTTACATGCAACCATTTCATTTCACTTAGAGGACAAACTCAATACTTTTATCTCCATAAGAAATATATCAAGGGTGATAGTTGACAAAAGTGTTCTCTTTTGCAGTGAAAAGACTTTCTACCATGGTAACAAGAATTAATATATGTTATTCTTCAGCAAAAGGAATTTCTCCGTTAAAACATTTCATTTCTTGAGTATGTTACTGAGGAGTGAATGAATATAGAGGATTCTCATTTACAGGGGATCCTTCATGAATGTAATCCTTTCAAAGATCATACCTGGTTCTTCAAAAATGGTGCAAGGAGTTTTAGAAGGATTATGTTAATTCTAAGTGAAACATTAGGTTTATTGAAGGAGTTTTCCAGAATCTTATACATTGGCTACAGTAATCATGAAGAGCCAGCTACAAATGAACAATAAAATCTTTCCCTATGTACTAGATTAAACTTAAAATTCAAACTTTAGGATATTATGTTTGTCCTAAATGTCTTTTACCGATTTTTGAAGAAAAATACCTAAAATCTTTATTTTATAAGTTTCATTGAGATTGAAGTCAGGAGACTTTGGGGTTCTAGTACAAATTTACTGTGTGACTTTAGCATGTCATTCAAAATATCCAAGCCTTAGTTTTCCTGTTTAAAAATGAGCTTATTGGATCAAAAGCTTTCTAAAACAAAATTCTACAGCTCTAAGAGTATGATTTATACCTTCATGTGAAAGAAATATCCAAAGTCAAATTTCAATGGGGTTGCAGGAGGGAGGGAGGGAAATAAGTGAGTAAGAGAACAATGAATCTGGGCTTTACGGGAAAAAGGATGCTTAAATAGAGATGAAAGAATATATTAGCCTGGAAGATACAGGGGAAGGACTCAACACTCATAACACTTGTATAACATATACTAGGTTGTTTAACACAACAAGGGCAATGCTTGCTAATATATATACTAACTCTTGTAAGTATTTAAACTGACCTCACAAAATCCTTCCATTTTTCTTGAAGATACATGCATAATTAAATTCTGCCAAATGGGCTCTTACTGATAATAGAAGCATCTCATTGTCAATAAAATTCTACACTTTGGTTAGTTCTGCTAATATACTTCATTTTCATCATTCCACCTACCTCCTTCATAACTGGAAGAGACTATTGCAAAAAAGAGTACAGATTTTCCTTTTATTTGCACTTTCTCTTGAAGCATAAAATTTCAAGAGCATAAAGTCTGTATGAATTGTCCTCCTTAGTAAACCACTCAGTGAAGAGCCATTTATGGAGGTGTGAGCAGGTGTGAGGAGATCTGGAAATAGCTAGCCTGAACTTTGAGTATGGAGACTCTTACAGGCTCTCAGATTTTCCCTTGAGGAAACACACAGAATTTTCTGGAGTCAGGAGCTGTTGTTACAATTTCTTGGCTCATTTAGGTATTTTAAATATCTCACTAAATCTAAAGGTGATTTTTTTCTCTGTGCAAATGAAACTTTATTTCCTTGTATCTATATTTACCTAAGCTCTTTTTTAATAGAAGTATAATTGACATACAGTGTTATATTAGTTTCAGGTGTATAACAAATTGATTTGACAATTATGTACATTACTCAGTGCTCACCATACTAACTTCAGTCACTGTCTGTCATCACAACGTTATTACAATATTATTGACTTTATTCCCTATGCTATACTTTTTCATCTCTGTGACTTATTTATTTTGTAACTGGAAGTTTGTACATCTGAATCCCCTTTATCTATTTTCCCCATTCCCCCTCCAATCTCCCCTCTGACAACCACCAGTTTTTTTACTGTATTTAAGACTCTGTTTTTGTTTGTTTTGTGTTTTAGATTCCACATATAAGTGAAATCATATGGTGTTTGTCTTTCTCTGTTAAAGGTGACTTTTTAATAGAATCTAGTTGAAACCAGTAAGATCTGAAATTAAAATCCAGATGGAACTAGAGGGTGTTTTGCTAAGTGATATAAGTCAGTCATAGAAAGACAGATATCATATGTTTTCACTCACATGTGGAACTTGAGAAACGTAACAGAAGACCATGGGGGATGGGAAGGGGAAGAAGTAGTTTCAAACAGAGAGGGAGGCAAACCATAAGAGACTCTTTTTTTAAATTTATTTTTATTTTTATTTATTTTTTTATTATATGAAATTTATTGTCAAATTAGTTTCCATACAACACCCAGTGCTCATCCCAAAAAATGCCCTCTTCAGTGCCCATCACCTACCCTCCCCTCCCTCCCACCCCACATCAACCCTCAGTTTGTTTTCAGTTTTTTGTTTTTTATTTTTATTTTTTTTTAACGTTTATTTATTTTTGAGACAGAGAGAGACAGAGCATGAACAGGGGAGGGGAAGAGAGAGAGGGAGACACAGAATCTGAAACAGGCTCCAGGCTCTGAGCTGTCAGCACAGAGCCCGATGTGGGGCTTGAACTCACGGACCACGAGATTGTGACCTGAGCCGAAGTTGGCCGCTTAACCGACTGAGCCACCCAGGCGCCCCTGTTTTCAGTTTTTAAGAGTCTCTTATGCTTTGGCTCTCTCTCCCACTCTAACCTCTTTTTTCTCTTTTTTGTCCTTCCCCTCCCCCATGGGTTTCTGTTAAGTTTCTCAGGATCCACATAAGAGTGAAATCATATGGTATCTGTCTTTCTCTGTATGGCTTATTTCACTTAGCATCACACTCTCCAGTTCCATCCACGTTGCTACAAAGGGCCATATTTCATTCTTTCTCATTGCCACGTAGTACTCCACTGTGTCTATAAACCACAATTTCTTTATCCATTCATCAGTTGATGGACATTTAGGCTCTTTCCACAATTTGTGCTGCTATAAACATTGGGGTACAAGTGGCCCTATGCATCAGTACTCCTGTATCCCTTCGGTAAATTCCTAGCAGTGCTACTGCTGTGTCATAGGGTAGGTCTATTTTTAATTTTTTGAGGAACCTCCACACTGTTTTCCAGAGCGGCTGCACCAGTTTGCATTCCCACCAACAGTGCAAGAGAAGGAGACCAAAGCAGGAGGCATCACAATCCCATCACACTCCCACATCTTTAGCCTCTACTACAAAGCTGTAATCATCAAGACAGCATGGTATTGGCACAAAAACAGACACATAGACCAATGGAATAGAATAGAAACCCCAGAACTAGATCCACAAAAGTATGGCCAACTAATCTTTGACAAAGCAGGAAAGATTATCCAATGGAAAAAAGACAATCTGTTTAACAAATGGTGCTGGGAGAACTGGACAGCAACATGCAGAAGAATGAAACTAGACCACTTTCTTTCACCATTCACAAAAATTAACTCAAAAAGGATGTGGAAATAAGAGACTCTTAAATACAGAAAACAAACTGAGGGTTGATGGGGGAGAGGGGAAAATGGGTGATGGGCATTGAGGAGAACACTTGTTGGGATTAGCACTGGGTGTTGTATGTAAGCAATAAATCATGGAAATCTATCCCCAGAACCAAGAGCACACTGTATAGACACTATATTAGCCAACTTGGCAATAAATTATATTAAAAAAAAGTATTATTGGATTTTAAAATATAAAAAAATCCAGATCGATTAAGAAGACAATAAATAATAATGCTTTAGTTGTTATAAAAAGAGGATAGCTTATAACATTTATGACCAATTTTGGATAAAATATAGGAAAAATATTTTGACCAATAGTGAGAAAATCTTGTTCATTATTCATCATTTTATTGAACAGCTTTACTTACAATGCAGAAGTTACAACTGGGCTGAGTCACCACAATTAATGTTTCTTAAGTCAGTCATAGAAATACATCCAAGTGATTTCTCACCTTTGCTCCTTGAACCATTTGACTTTCCAAGTTTTACTTGGAAAAGTAAAGTAAAAGTAAAGATGTCAATCATCTTATTTGTCCTGAGTACTCCGGCTTAATAGTACATTAAATAAGCTGAGATCTAAGTTGGGTGCCTTTCTTTAGGTAATAACATCCTCAAAATACTTTTATAATTGTGGATACTCTTTTAGGGTAAATCAAGAAATGCTTTGAGGAAGACTGCAAGAACAATAGAAATTTTCTCTGGAAAAAAAGGGACCATAGACAATTTTTGCATAATGCAAAATACTAGAATATGGTTTTAAAGTAACATTGTACAAAATACATTGACAAAGGCTGAAAACAATTCTTAAATTTTTTTTTTTCAACGTTTATTTATTTTTGGGACAGAGAGAGACAGAGCATAAACGGGGGAGGGGCAGAGAGAGAGGGAGACACAGAATCGGAAACAGGCTCCAGGCTCTGAGCCATCAGCCCAGAGCCTGACGCAGGGCTCGAACTCACGGACCGCGAGATTGTGACTGTGAGATCGTGACCTGGCTAAAGTCGGACGCTTAACCGACTGCGCCACCCAGGTGCCCTTGAAAACAATTCTTAAGAGTTGTAACATAGTGTTGCCTTCCTACTTATCTAACTTAAAGTACAATTAGGATGAAAATTGTTTCTTTCTTGATTTTTAATGTCTGCTGGTTTGTATAAACTCATATTTTATCCATTGGATCCACATAATTTCCATAAGAAATATTAATTTTCAGTGATGCTTATTATCAGTATGAAGATACTGATAAATAAAGCTAAATCATATGTTCATGTATATATTTATATATAGATAAAAACTACACGAAAATTGAATGTAGTCATTGATGATAACTACAAATTTAGGTTTATTG